ACAAATCATTATTTTCGCGTCCCGCCGAATCGTTTTTCCCTGCTCGCCCTCTGCATCGCGGTACACCATCGTCTTCGACCTTCTTGAACTTCGTCTCCGCCTGACCCTTCGAACGTAAGAGGATCTTTTGGAAGATTTACGAAGATTTACGGAGCGAGCAATAGTCCTCAGAATTATTTGTATCGTAGTCGCGACCGCGAGAACGTTCCGATAAATCTGCTTGCAAGATGACGTCGTTCGAACCGGCGTAGAAGCGAACAAAATCAAAGAGATGGATGTTTTATCATCGATACAATTCGAATGAATTCTGCATTCTCTATCTTGGCTGCGATTTCAGCTCTTCTTCATTTACCACGTATATTTGAACGTTGGACGGAGCACGTGGAAGGGACACCAGCCTCCTCGCAGACTCACCATTTCCAAGAAAGTTCCCCGCAATTACCGATCAGACCACCGACCGAACCACCAAAGAACAAGACGAAATTAAAAATCCTGCAATCCGCGCTTCCGTGTCCCTCGAGGAAGGAGACGCCAACGGGGATGAAGAAGACTTAAAAATCCCAGGATCCCGGTGCCACTTACCCGGAGCGGAGCACGGGTGCGCCAGCGTAAATTGTCAGCCAGGACAATTCGACGAAATCACCGATCAGCGGAGCTCCTTATTTCGACTGGAAGCGAATGGCCGTTGAACGGTTCACGAGCAAAAGAATTAAAGGCTCGCGCTGGTCAACCAGTTCTTTCTTCCTCTTTTTCTCCTAACCGATTCCCTTGGCGCAGACGGTCGAGGCAAGCAGCCAGCCAACTTCCTCCTCGTTCCTCCTCCCTCCCCCCCAGAAGGAAATCCCAATAATCCACGATGAGACACAGATTGAGTCTCCCAGAGACGGCGGAGAGAGAGAGAGAAAAAAAGAAAAAAAAAGAATCGAGCAGGAGAAGCGGTCGACGAGGCAAAGCGAGGCTCGGATAAGAGGGCTGGCGTAACGGGAGAAGAAAATTGGAATCCTTCCGGGACGGAGGATGATAAAATTGCGGATGGCCAGGTGTTACCGTAATCCGGATTGAGACGGACCGTCCGAGAGAGCTACGCGCACATACACCTGCACCACTTTGTACGGAACCCTATACGTTTTCTTGTTCCCGCGTGATTCACGTTCCTTTCTGGCCACGTGGATTAGAATCGTCTCGGTTTCCCGAGAAAGAGACGTTCCTGTAACTTCAACGAACGCTACGAAGGGGGTCGCGCTTTGCCAAACTACGCTTCTAGCGGCCGCTGGCTTTGGCTTAAACCAGTTTACACCGTGCGCGGGTTAACTTGCTCCGCTCCTGGAAATTGTGGCTGCGCGTACTTCGGTAGACTAGTTTCACAAGATGAAAACTTTCCAGGAGCTGAATCGAGAGTTGCAATCGATTCCTCGCGTTGCGAGTGGAATTGTACGAAATTTCAGGGAAATTGGCCGAAAAAGTTTCACATAATTCGCGTAATATCTGTAAACTTTGTATCTCTAATTTCATATTCCTTCCCCTTTTTCTTCTTCTTTTAAACTTTCTGCTTTTTTCTTATCCTACGTCGCTCCGTTTTTCCATACTTCTCATGTTTTTTTGCCCCTCCCTTCTCATTTCATTTCCTTCTTTATTTTCTCCCCTTCCCATGCTATTTTCTGCTTATTTTAACTTGTTCCTAATGTAGGCGAAATATTTTTGCGTCTCGTTTGCTTATTCAATGACGCTAAAGGAAAAGAAGACAGTTCGTTGCGATGGTCCCCGGCCTCTTCTCAGATCGTTATCAAAGCAAACTGGTACGAGGCGTGGAACGTTAATTCCAAGGGAACTTACATATTACACTACCGGTACATAAATCCTGGACCCCTTCCACGTGGAGGGGATAGAGAAAAAGGACAGCGATACGCGCGTCGATTTAAAAAGACGCGATCTCATTCGGGTCGCTAACGGGCGGCGATTATTCGGATCCAGCTGCGGAGGACGAGCAAACGGCAGGACAGCGCGAGCAGCGATCGTAATTTGTTTCCAGATCGTATCTTCAAAGTAGGTCCGCGTCGATAGGGGAGGAACTATTCTCGCGGAACAAACGGCGGAACGTTCTCCACATGGTTGTACAGGAAATCTAGAAATTCGTGGAAAAATTCCAAAATACAATCCTTGATCGATCCTGTAATCGACAAAGACAGAATAATTATAATCGAAACTGTATCCTTTTGTCTTTGATTAATCTGTCGTTCGAGATGTCGAAATCGCTGTCTTAAGAAACCAATTGCTATATCTGAAAAACCGCCACGCTGCTGCCTATGCAGAAAAAGATCCTGAAAAGAAGTGGAAATAAATTCGCAATAAAACTGTCCACGAGGCGGTGGACCAGGCTGGCTCGAGCGTGTATGGCCTTTTCGCGAACGAAGCAGCAGGATCAGGACCATGGTCCTGTATCGTATATCGCACATATCGCATCGAAGGATCGGTGTAAGCCGGTAGCAGTCAGTTCTCTCCCCGAGTCCGAAGGCAGCAGCAGCAGCAGCAGCAACAGCAGCAACACCACCGCCACACTCGATGCGCACAATTAATATCGGGCCGTATCTCTGATCTCTCATTATTACCTGGTGGTTGCCGGTGTGTGAGGGTGTAGCCGTTCCCGCAGGAACGAGCCTCTCGAATGTTCAGCCACGGCTGTGTTGGTACCGGCTACCGTACACCCCGGGACACCAGAGTCGGCCATGCATCACCCTAACGAGCCGGGCATCGCGTGCCGATCTGTATTAAGGATTTATAATCCTCCGGACGCAGGAGAACTCCTAATGTCCTGGCTGAGCGGGAGATATTTGCCTATAGGCTCGCACGATCGCGCTGGACGCTTCCTTCGGCCACGGGGAATCACCGTGTGCCCCTCTTCAAACAAATAGGCACACCCACGAAGACTTTTTTATTCCTTTTCTACGATTTTTCGTGTTTCTCCTCCTTTTCGACTTTTTGCTCAGTGGCAGCGTAACGATATTCGATGAAGACGTCTTGCTCCTTCGAACGACGCAAAATGAGATTCTTTCGTCGATCGAGTCGCTCGCAGGATCAACTCTACCGAGATTGATCGTTCGATTTCCGAAGAATTAGACGCTGATACTAAAATTAAGATGTATTCAGAAAATGGAGTGTGCCTCGGTTGTTTGCCTCTTGACTAATTCGATTCGCCGTACGGTTGTCCGACGATATCGATTCGTAAGAGCAAAAAGGACGATGTTGATCGTCTCTGGTACCTCGTCGAAGTACTTGGTCGATCATCAACGCCCGACAGATACATTGAAAAACGTCTTCCTCCTTCTCGAGTCCCGGAATAAGGTTCTTCCGTCGATTCCTCCAACGTCAGGCGATTATTCGATCATCAATTTTTAGGAATGCAACGTACGATCATCCGATATCCTCTTGAATCTGAAAACGTTCGGCTGGCTAGTACCTTCCGACAGGTAGATTGTCTCTGCCTAAACACATATTAATTAGACTCGCCGCCAGCAGGAAGACATAACTCGTTGAGGGATGAGTGAAGGATGACGTGGTCGCGGTGCAGTTTCCGAGTGTCGTGTTACGTCTAGGTGAGTGCCGTTTCCTCGGCTACCCCACTCGGTCTTGTGGGTCCGCGATCCAGGGGCCTGGTGG